TGTTCACATTCTTCTAGTACAAACTGAAAATATAGCAGTTACAAGCCGCATCTCACATGGTTTCAAGATGTCTTTTACATTGCATATACTATATAAATAAAATCAGATGAACTACTCCTAACTAAACATGCACTGAGGACTGAAAATGTTCCAAGCAAGCTTACAAAAGTCTGGTTTTTTTTAAAGCTACCACATCATAAATCCATTTTTTTCCTGCTGATTGCTCAGCATACATCTGTTAATGATTAGGCAAAGACTCCACAACTTCATAAAAGTCCCAGAACTATAATTTTCCATAGCCTAGCCTTAATCCGCTCCTTTCAATGAATATCAACTTAAAATTCTACACAAACAGAATTCTACTTATACAAACTAAGAAAAATATAGATTTTATTTAGGTTTTATCCCACCTAAAGAGATTTATAAGAGGACAACACAATAAAAGCTGTCTTAAATCATCTTACAATAAAAAAACAGCAAAATGTTTACATGTTACACAGAAAATTTAAAATGTTTATTTAAAAAGGAATAGAAAAGCAAAATTACTGGAAATCTAAAATACAGGTTGACCCTATTATCATACAAATTGCTGGTGAACACCATACCCGTCACAATTCAGGCAAGGAGATCAGCCAAGCACACTTTAGAATAAAATTTTGTAACTGGGAAGTTGCCATTAAGATGCTTTGCCTAGTCACACTATGCTTTGAATGTAATCTTCCCAGCTGATATTAAAGCAAAGGCTAGATCAAGGCTGTCAAGCTCGCGGCCCGTGGGCCAGATGCGTCATGTGCTGGCCAAGCCGATGCCCGGCTTAGCAAAGGGGGGGGGAGTCCTGATATGTCATGTGACTCTGCCATGACGTGAGTTTCATACCCCTGGGCTAGATGGTATTGAGAGAAACACAATTTTAAGCAAAGAATGTATCCTACGCTGCTTAGGGCTCTATAAACAAAATACCTTAAACTGGTTCTGGCAGCTCAGAAGCAAACCGTGTTATATGGTTCTTTTTAGTTAATTTATTTAAAAAAGCTGAGTCTTATGCTACAATGGTTGCAGCTTCTGAAGTCTTCAAGGTGACTCCACATAAAGAATGCAACCAAGAGATTATTAGGAAGGGCATCCATTCAGCTGAAATCCTACTTGTCACACTTGCTAAAGTTTCTTGCAGCTGGAATAACCTATGTTTCTGGGAACTAATTAGAATTCCAAACTACTGTTCACAGCTGTTGTTTCAGAGGAAATGTTCCTTATCCAAAATAAGTGAGTTTCCTAAATCCCAGCCTTGAGAAACATTCATCTGAATATTGCAGCAACTTTTATGGAGTTCACTTCAATTTCTTGGTCTTCAGTCTATCATTACTTTCCAGGAAGTGTTGGACAGTGTCAATATATTGATATCAGTCTTGCAGGTATGAATGAAACAATTTCATTGATCTTCCAATACTCAAATGAAGAAGCTGTTCTAGCAACATGCTATGATCAGTAGTGTCAATGCTTGACAATAAATCTCAGAAAAACTAAAACACCTGAGATCTCAACGGGCCAGCAAGGCTGATTCTATGCTACATTCAGACATGACATTACAGTGAAATGAATCTAGGTAACTAATTTATTCCAAATGTGCTTGCAATTAGATGGCTTTCATCTTCTCAGTACAGGTAGTCTTTGACTTACTACCACAATTGAACCCAATATTTATGTTGTTAAATGAGACCTTTGTTAAGTGAGTTATGCCCTATTTTACCATTGGAAAGTAGTTGTCCAGAATCTCAGGCTCTAAGAAAGGATTGTTCAGAGTAGACCAAACTGTCACCTTCTTTAAGGCATCTAAATTTTTATTAACTATTGTCTAAATCCAACTAATAAGACCTTGCTTACTAAATTCAACAGTTACAATGGACAAACATCTAGAATTCCAGCTAGGTAGATCACTGAGAAAACCAGGCAGTGAAGATGCCCTCTTTCATTATCATATGCTCCTTTGTTACTCCCTTTACAGGAATTTATTCTTGAATGACCTTCCCCACCCTGAGGAAATTTCCAGGCAAAGAGCACAACTTCTATTTGTTATTTGTCTTGTTGGATAAGAACCCAATTAATGCTCTCAGATTGTGCCTTGTTTGATGCCTCTATTTGATCTATTCACTTTACTCATAGCTAAACTATTATACACCTTATCTATTTACTTATATGTCATGTTATTATGACACTCTTTCTCTTGTATTATATTATTTTTGTTCTTTGCTATTTGTTTCACTTCTTGTGAAACATAGTTTACTTCTTGAGTACAGAATTTCATATTGTGGGTGTTATCTCACTGTTCTCTGGTCTTCTCGCTGTGGTAAATGATTTGATCTGATGCCCCATTGATAATCTGCAATATACCAGGCACAACTGGGCCTTCTGACCTATGCTCAGTCATAGGATTAATGAGATTTGCACTACTTGCACTTTAGCAGTTTACAGTTTGGCTTCCTTGCTTAGAGCAGCTCAGAAAACCAAGGGGATTTCTGGGCCCGTCCTAAATGAAGATGGGTCTCTGTAGCAATAACAGCGGCAATATTTATTAATTCCCTGGTCCATCATGATATTACAGCCTCAAAAAGAAATTACCAGCAATTATACCTTGAGGCCCTTCACCATGCACTTAAGAATCTATTAGAGTCTGTTCTCTGAGGAAGGACTCTCTGGTTTTCCACCTGGGCTCACTCATACCCAACTCAAATCCTATTGCATGTCTGCTTACACTGTTTCCCTCGACCCCTCGTGACATATTTCAATTCTGATAGATGTTACAGGAAGGGGCTACGAGTTCTGGGAGGGAAATTAAATCCTCACCCTCTGGTAAGAGTCCTACCTACCTCCTTCTCAGAAAGGCCACACATTTGCACTTCTGCTGACAGTGTAGATGTTAAAACATGGCATAGACATGAGGGGGAGGAAGAGAAAGCCATTAGTGATACTGTACTGGCAACCATATGCCCTCCAGGAATTTTTCCAATTACTTCACAACCGTATTTCTGTTGGACATACCAATGCACACATATATTTAATAAGGACTGAAAAAAAACCTACTTTGCTTTGGTTAATCGTGTCCTGCTTAAAAATTGTTTAAAAGTGAGTAATATTAAATAATTTATTCTAAAAAAAGAAGCCATTATTAAACTGTGCCAGTACAGAGTTTTTTGCTATTTAATTACATTAACTTTTACTGTTCCCTTTTAATTTGGGCCTATGGTAATGCTCCTGTTGCTAGCAAATTATTAGTTGTTCTGCAACAATAGCGGTAGGATTGCTCTTCACCTCCCTCCAAATGTTCCCTCTAAGCATTTGTGATCATTACCATTTTTCAAGCCACAACAAAGCTCTCATTTCTAATCCATAATTCACTACAACTGATATATAAAGGAAGGAGCCAGCATTTATGAAACCTGCTAGGTTACACACTCACTGCCTTCTGTTAACAGCTCTTTTCCTTCTCCTACCTATTTGGGGGCTGGACTAGGCAGAACCACACAAAGAAATTTTTATTCTTTCCCCTATATTGTCCCCAAAAGGTGTGTGGGGAAAACTACATGTTGGGCGCCCAAAGTCAAAACTGATGCTCTAGGATAGAAAATCCAGAAAACCAGAATTAAATCAAATATATGGAAAATTACCTAAACAAAGAATGACAAGTGTAAGTTTCTGTTTTATCACTTCTGTAGGGTTATGAAAATATAGAAGAATTCAGGAAAACTGAAAAAGGATTTTCACCATCGAACAAATAGTAAAACCAAAGGATATTTTGCACATGTGAATGCAAACCTTTAAGGTTTTAACAAAAATCGAATTCTTTGGGAATACCCTTGCACAATGCTGAATATTCCAATTGTACGTATTGAAATCAAGATTTGAACCATCAAGACAGTACAATTTCTAAAAGGGGAATAATTTTCAGATCAGTGAGTTTTGTTTTTTCACTATCCAAACAAGAATTCTGAACAGAGAACATTCCTCTAATGAACCCTTAAAAATGATCTGTTTCAAAATAGATAATTTCGTGTGTGTGCGCGCGCACTTAAGAGGTGGGAAATGCAGGCCAGAAAATCTAGGTTCCCCATGTCAAACATCAACATGTCAAACATCAAAACAAACAAAAAAGCACATAAACCTCTGGCAATTCTAGAGAGCCAGGTTGAGAAAGAAATCCTGTGGGGGTTTGTGCTCCTTAAATAGCAACGGAAATGCCAACAGGCCTGATCACTCTACAGCAGAGGGAAGAAAGAGAAGGCCCTTTGCTGGTGGGCAGATGATCACTAAAGCTCAGGATCCTTCAAGCAGCCCATTTCCCCGTTCTGCAAGTAGATTCTGCAGATGTCCAAGGGAAGGGGACATGAAGGGGAACGCTCAGCTGCCCCTTTAAGGGGACTACACAGCATGACGCCAGAGCAAAGGAGCTGGAGGAAGATCAAGAATCCAGCTCCTAGTGGCTCCTGTGACACTGCATGGAGGGATTGGGGGGAGATATGCCTGGGGTCTGCCTGCCGGATATACCAAACGACAACCAAGCCAGCAGCTGCTTTCCGGTGAGGGCTATGTAAGGGACATCCTAAGCAGGGGGGAGGATTTGCAAACCTCACTTATGAACCCACCCCGCTTTCCAGACACTCAAACTCATCTGTCCACAGCCCCCATTCCTCACGGCCTCCCCTGCAGAGGGTCAAACTCAAGAAATCCCTGCGCGAAGGCAAAAGTCTGGCCGCCCCAACCAAGCGTGCGATCAGCCAAGCTCGGCTGGCGAAATCCTCCAAGCGCCCGGCTCAGGCTTCCTGCCTGTCCGTCCCCCGTCCTCCCACCCCACCGCACTCCCGCTCCCCAATCGGCCTTCCTTATGCCTGCAGTCCCTGCTGCAGAAGGAGCCGCTCCTGCCGCCCCCGCGCTCCGCAGACGGGTGCCCGGCTGCTGGCGCAGTCCGTGCCCGAGGGGCGCCGTCCGTGCCCGAGGGGCGCCCTCACCTCCTTCAGCTGCTCCATCTCGGTGCGGATGGTTTCGTACTCCAGCTCCAGCTCCTCGTATTGCTGCTTGAGCTGCTGCTTCTCCTCCAAGACGACCAGCCCATACTCGGCAGCCTGGATCTTCTCCCGGGTGGTTTCGCCCAGCTCCTGGAAGAGCCGCTTGATCTCGGCGCGCAGCCACTCGGGCTCCGACTCCATCACCAGCTTGGCGTATTCTTCCTCTTCCATGGCGAGAGACATCTTTGCAGCAGGCGGAGGCGGCCGAGAGGGGGGTTTCCACAGACCGGCAAAAAAAGGAAGGAAATGCGGCAGGGAAAGCAAGCAGAAGGATGGACCCCGCAGCACCCTCCGCCCCCTTCAGCACCTTCAGAACCCCGCCGGTCCCTCGACCACCATGGTCCTCTCCTCTCCAGCGCCACTTGCCCGGCGTGCCATGAACCGGGAAGGCTCCTTTGGCTCCTCGATCGCCCGGCGGTTACACCATGATTCCTGCCCCCCCTCCCACCTCCCCGGTCTCTGACTGCGGCTGCGAAACTCCCTGGGAATGTAAACCGCAGTGAAATCATTCAAAAGGAACGGCCAACCGATTAACCCGCGGCATTATGGGACTTGTAGTCTTGGCTCCTTTGAGTCAAAGCCCAGCCGGAGCCTCTGAAGACTACGATTCCCATAGTGCACCGGGAGACAAGCACAGAGGGATTGGCAAGCGCCGGCCTCTTTAAGGAATTTTTGTTTTCTACAGGAAGAATCAATCTGGCAGCCGGCGCTGTTGTTATCCTCAGTGCAAGTGCGGTTGTGTCAAAGCGCCGTCCGTTTGAATAGTGACCCCTAGAGGCCGTCCCTAGTATAATCCGCTGTAGAGATGTGGGGACGAGGGATCGCGTTTACTGCAGGATACCTATGAATTATCCGTTCTTGAACCTTTAGATGACATTTAAGCTAAAATTCTGCAGATGCTAAAAAAGCTGCACGTTTGCTTTTAGAGGCTGGCGATATGGCGGAGGAGGGAGGGAGAGGAACTCTAAAAATCAATGAAGTCTTAATTTATATCTAATTGGAAAGAAGTTGTTATTTATTTATTTTATTTTTATTTATTTATTTATTTGATTTGTCAATTGTTTACAAGATAATAAGTACAAGTGTATACATAGTTGTGAATATATGAAATGGGTACATATAAGAAAAATAAAAGAATAAGAGAAACAATAGGACAGGGACGGTAGGCACGTTGGTGCTCTTATGCACGCCCCTTTAAACATTTAGACATTAAACATAAAGCATTTAAACATTCAGATGTAACAGCAATAGCACTTAGACTTATATACAGCTTATATTGCTTCACAGCCCTCTCTAAGCAGTTTACAGAGTCAGCATATTGCATTATTGCTCCCAACAATTTGGATCCTCATTTACACAACATGCTTGCAGCACTGAGCTCTCCACTATGAAGTAAAGCACCAGCTAGGGTGATTGCAGCTGCCAATCTCAAAATGCTTCTGAAATTACCAATGGCTTTGCTTAACCAAATCATTATTTACTGAATCCAATTTTCTAGGTTCACATGACATGATCATAAAGTAATCACACTGGCTAAGTATGAACAAGCCGTATCAGCCATATGTTAGCCAGGCTGAAACAAACATTTGATGGTTTGTTGATGGTGCAGCCCTTGTGAAAAATCAACATCTGGCATTCTTAAATTAGAAAAATGAAATGATCAATCCATCAGAATAGAGCTGGAAGGGACCTTGGAGGTCTTCTAGTCCACCCCCCTGCTCAAGCACGAGACCCTACAAGTGACTGTCCGGTTGCTTCTTAAAAACTTCCAAGGATGAAGCACCCACAACTTCTGAAGGCAAGCTGTTCCACTGGTTACATCAAATTATGCATGGCGTGGAAAAAAATAAGTTTTTTGTCTTATTTGAAAACAGTAAAATCTAGAGACACTCAATGAAAGTAAACAGTGGGAGATGTCAAGACAAATAAAAGGAATGTCTTCTTCATCTAGTACAGGGGTGTCAAACTCATGGCCCGCGGGCCAGATGAGTCACGTGCTGACCCCACCCCTGCCCGGTTTAGCGAAGGGGGGGCAAAGTCCCAATAAGTCTCGCGATGACGCCATGACAACAGGAGGTTGACACCCCTGACCTAGTACAAAGTTCAGCAAAGAGTTTGCTTCATCAGATGTTAATAAATATGGCAGTTTTAAAGGAATATAACTACTTTGCCAAAGATTACACTATAAATTTGACCTGTTGATTGCTTAAAATAGGGTATCAACTCCATTTCCTATGGGGGGAAAAGGCTGAGCATAATATTGCTTTGATGTCCTACTTGCAGACTTCCCAGGAAAGTTTCCTCAGAGGTATTCTTAGGAGGGCAGTGACTTGAATATTGCCTTATATACATTTCCTGGTAAAATATTTGGGGAAATCTCATTGGGAGGAAATCCCACTTAGGGTTAGGCTTAGGTCTCCATGAATTCAGGGAGCAAAATGGACATTGCCAATTGATTCATAGGGCATTGGTATGTGTAGGAGGGCGATGACCTTTCGAGCCTGCTTAACTATGTTCCTGATAAAATACATAGACAAATTCTATTGGAGGGAAAATCTACTTATGGATAGGATTGGGTCTCCATGTATTCGGAGAACAAAATGGCTATCACCATCAAATTCATAGCCAATCGGTATGTTTACTAGGGTTCTGATGTTTCAGGACTGTCTTAACTACCTTTCCTGGTAAAATACATGGACAATCTCCTTGTGAGGAAATCCACTTAGGGTTAGTGTTAGATCTTCATTAATTCAGTGAGTAAAATGGACATTAATAATGGATTCATAGGACATTGGTATTTTCAGCAGGGTGCTAACTTTTTGATCCTGCCTTTATTTTCCTTTCCTTGTTAAATACATGGGAAAATCCAATTTGGGGTCAAATCTACTGAAGCTTTAGGCTTAGGCCTTGAATTCTGAGAGCAAAATGGATATTGTCATGAAGAGGCAGAATGTGGACCTGGAATCAGTCTTTTTATCTGATTCAGCATAATCCCTTTTTTATACTCAGAAGTGGCAGGATCTGAAAAGATGGAGCTCTACTAAATCAAAAGAAGCACACCTGAAGATTACATTAGGTGACATTTGTTGTGCCCTGCCCCTGCCCAAGGCCTTTGGAAAACACTTTAATCTTCTTCCTTTCAATCATTTTGATCCAAACTGATCTAAATATTTAAAACATTCCTTTTAATAATGTAGTCTGCAAGTTGTAGCTTCAGAGCCAGCAGCTGTTCTGGCTTACTGGATTTTCTTAGCCTATGATGAGATTTATCATGTGAATGTATAACACTCTCATTTGTTCTTAAACTCGCCTGAAACCAAAATATTAAGAAGTTTGATTTAATTCCACCCCATGTATTTAATTAACATTGTTTTCTGATCTTTTCTGAGCATACCTGTGGAGTTGGTTCACATGTCCTTTAACATCTTAACAGGTATTTAGTTAATTTCTCACTTACTCATGTCAGGCCCACCTGCCTGGATTTAATTCAAGATCTGAGGAGGTTCCAATATCTTACATAAAATTTATGAGACCTCCATTCGTGGGAATTGAAAATAAGTAGGTTGAAGGTAAACCTTGTAGGGAAAAGTTGAGAGTCCAACAAAAGCCATTCAGAAAACTCCTAAGGTAAATTTCAGCAGCTGCTTTTGCATCCAGATTTCAACTATTTCTTTTTTTGATTACATATTTGTTTTATCAACAAAAATGAAATACAAAGCAGAAAAAAAATCCATACATCCAAAAAAGAAAAAAATGACCTAGGTATCAAATAAATTTAACTTTAAACATATGGAATCCACCCAGGTTGGATGTTGGAGGGGAAAACAGATTAAATTCTCCTCTTCTTTATGTAGCAGATCTACAAATAATTGTAAACTTTCCCATCTCTATTTAACAAGAATACTATATTAAATAAATATTTGTCTATATTATGATGGGTCAATCTGATTATTAGATAAAAATCCCTTCACCTGGAATATTTGTTTATTTAATTTAGTATTCAACCAACTATTTCTACCTTTTATAAGAGTCCAGAAATATATCAGCAAGCAGAGGTTTTCCATTTTAACCAAAAGGCTGCATTTGCAAGTTAGCATCTTGTTTTCGATATCCTAAGCTTGAATTCATATGGTACTGAATCCCCAAAGCGTGACCGGAAAATTCAGGAAATTCTAGAGTTCAAGGGCAAGTGTATTGTACAAACAGTGCTTCTTCATGAGGCTATTCTTTGAAAAAAAAATAATCTGAATTGGGCAGGGACTGGAAAAGATTGTCTTGCCAACAACACGTTCCTTTTGTTATAATCTGTTTAGTCAACAGTCTGCACCAGTCTTGGTTAAGTCCTACCATTTTCTTGCAACATCTTTAGAAATGGCTTGCTAGTATCTTCTTCCTCAGTGAAGGGATTTCTTAGTATATTTTGTCACTTTTAAATATATGATTGATTACTGAGTCTTGCCCAGCATTTTACAGGAATGTGGCTTCCAGTTATAGGCTGATCTTTGTTGGTCCAGCATTACTTGTATGCAGAATGTAGACAAGATAACTTCAGATTTCATTGTTCTAGTTTAAATTCCATTTTTTTGGTCAGGACCTAAAATAACATAACTTTTTGTGTTTTCTGCACTCCTTGTGTGATGGAAGGAGATGGCAGAGTTGCTGCTTTAACTCCAGCAGCAAAGTTCTTTTGTTCTACTGAAAGCAACCTATCGGTATAAAAGCTTTACCCAGATATTTTTGGGGATGATTGCTCCAGAACAACAGCAATTGCTCCAGAACTTTTTAAAATATGAACATTGTTTTAATGTTAGTTATTTTATTGTCTTTTAGCACTGGTTACTTGTTGATGGTTTTCATTGTTCTGTACACTGGCACCCATTAAGGGAAAAAGCATTAAATTGTTGTGATCAGTGCTATTCTTACAGGCCTCCTTTGCAATCATGTTTGCCAATATCAGGCATTTGGCAGAGGGGGGGTATACTGACCAGAAGGTAGCTAGATTGACATGTCTTGTTAAATCACAGCATTGTTTTGTTTTGGTGTAGCACAGCATCTGAGACGAATTAATCTTGCCACACATAGAAGCATCCTAACTGAAGCCTTTGTAATGGAGCTGCAATGCCAAAGCCGCAGGATTGGATGAAACCTTAGGTTTTGGTCATGCTCTAATATTCTAGGTGATCTTTTATGACTCATTTCATTTTTATTCCACTTTGAAGTTATTGTTTGCTCCCTCAACTCATAATGCAGTAAACAGGGCAAGCTGAGTAACTTGAGGGGAGAAGACATGAAGCAAAAACTTTATAGGCATCTCTGTTGACTGGATCTTTTTTTCTCCATGCAAAAAACATACTGCATCTCAAACCATCAGGGAAATTAGAGGGGAAAGGCTTAGTATTCAGTGGGCACAATGTCTTTAGAACTATGGAAAAATGCAGTAAGCTTGCTCATTCCTAGCAAGGGTGATTTATAACTCAGAAGCAAATACTCTGTGATTTAACCCCTGCAGTTGATTACAAA